TCCTAGTTTTCTTTCAAAGGTATTTCCCAAAGATTTCATTTAAGACTTCTCTTTCCTTCTGCTCCTCTGCCTCAAGTAAAAAAAAAAAAGAAAAAGAAAAAGAAAAAAGAGCTCTCTTTCCTCCTTTCCATGAAGCAAATGAAAACACAGCCCACGCCTAGGCCTCTACCTTTGGTCTTTAAAAGCCTCTCTGCCCTCTGATTTCTAGCTACAGGCAATTCTTCAAAAATTAAACACAGTTACTTTCTGGCCTCCCCTTTTCACAGAGCTTGTAGGTTGTTTTTTTAATCGATATTCATTGAAATCCTACTATGTGGTCCTGGGAAGCTACAACAGCAGGGACAGGCAGGACTTCAAGTTTGACATTTAAACAAGTATTTCAACACTAGTGGTAGTTTAGTAAACAATTCAGAAGTGCTTAAGGTAATAATTTAAGTTCTCCCAAACTTACTTTCCAGAGATAGCTGAATTGCAGTGATTTTCAAACTTTTTTGTGACCCACAGTGAGAAGTACATACATCCATATAAATATATGAAACAAATGTTTCACCAAACACTACTTACCTTTACTACATGGGTAAAGCTGGTGATGTTTTCTGTTTGGTTCACTGAATTTAATTTTTGTTGATGCTACTAGGTTGAACCATGTGAAACTGATATCTTTGTAGTCAAAATGGTCAAACATGGGCAATTTCCTATGGTTCAACCTATTTGTGACACTACAGTAATTTCATAATCCACTTAATGGACTGCATCCCATACTTTGAAAAAACATTGTTTAATGGGTATATTTCCAGTTAATGTTATTTTTTAAATAAAAGTGGGATTGAAATTTGATTATTTCATTTAATATGATATGGACATCTTTCCACCTCACCCTTCTTAAAGCCTCCATGGAATCCACATACACCTACCCTGGCTTCGGTAACCTGCCTTCACTGAAGGCACTTAGGTTTTTTCCAATTTCTTTCTGTTCCAAACCATGCCACAGTGAACTTCCTTGTCATAAACGCTCATGTGCAGTACCAGAATTTCTGTGGCACAGTCTCCTGGAGGCAGGATGGCAGGCTCCTGGCCTGGGCATTTCCCATTTTGATCTTAGCTGTGTTTCAAAGTCTTTGAGCAGGAGTTATGCACAAGCTCTTCCCTTGTGTGGGCCTGAGGGTCAATGGTGCTGATCGCAGGGGCCCACTCGGTAAAGTACCCCGTCTGTCCAGCCCTCCTCTGCCCACAACCTCCTTCTGCAGGATGGGTGGCTCCAGCTCCTTCTAGACTTCTCCTCTAGGCAAACTCCACGGAGACAACCAGATAGACAGAGTACTTTACTGACAACCAGACCTTGGTTTGACTCTTGCCAAGCTCCTTAAATTCTCTGGATTCCATTATTACACCTACAAAAAGGAAATAAACCTCTCAGGATTGCAGGGAGAATGAAGCTGAACATGTGGTGTGTGTTGTAAAGGGTTATACCGGAGTTAACCATATCTTCAGCTCCTGCTGACAGTTCTTTCCCAAGCGTTAGACAGAGGATGCTCCATGCTGCTACTCACATTTACCCTGTAGAGGGCTGGGGGAAGTGCCCAAAGTAAGACAATAAAATAAGGCTCTCACCTGAGATTACAATCTGCTTGGTCCCTGGCCTCAGTTTCCTCACTTTTTCTGGACTTCTTGACCACTAAGGTAAAGAACAAAACTCTTGGACAGTCATTCACTCAACAACATCGAGCACCCAGTACATGCCACCCACTGTGCTGGCACCACCTGGATCTCAGTTTTTTCACCTGCAAAAGTAGGAATTGTGCTTCTCAACAGTGAAACGAGGGGCATCTTGGGCAGGACAATTCTTAGTGCAGGTCTACAATTCTGTCATTGGAACAACCTAAAGATGCCCAGCACATTTTGAAATGGCCCCGAGGGGGCATTACCACCCTTGATCGAGAACCAACAGTCCACTTCCTACAGGAGCTGGGAAGGGGAGAGGCCTAATTTTCTGCTCTGTCACTAGCAGATTTAGGATGATGCCAAGGCCCAAAATGAGCAGGATTTGGACCATGTTTCCCCAGAACAGGGCCTTACACTGGCCCCAGATGCGTCACTACCCTTGGGGCTCTCGGTTCTGACTCTCAGGTCAGCATCCCTTCTCAGGTACTCCCTATCCAGCCAAAATACAATCCAGGATCTTCAAGGTTTCCCTTCCCGTTCCAGTCCTCGGCTACTGCGGGTAGAGGAATGGGGTCTTGCCCTGGTCCCCCAAGCCTCAGCACTCGGGAATGCAAAGGTTAACGCAGGTGGCCACGCAGAGATCCCCAGCACCGCTAGAGGGACCATTGCAGCTGCTCAGTCGGGCCGCCTCGCGGTCACGTGGGGAGAGGGCGGGACCAAACATGGAACCAACCAATCGGCTGTGCTGCCGGTGGGCGTGATAGCCAATAGGAGCAGGGAGCGGGGTCCCGGGACTAGGAAAAAACGGCGGCCGGGAGGGGGCTACGGGGACCATGGGGCTTCTGACCATTCTGAAGAAGATGAAGCAGAAAGAGCGGGAGCTGCGATTGCTTATGCTGTATCCTTCCGGACGCAGGAGTCGCGACGGTAATGGGGCCTCGCCGGGCGGGCGGTGCCAGGCGCCCCCTGCTGGGCGCAAGTGCGCGGTCGGCGGCCTGTACCAACTGCCCATTGTGCGTCACGCACGTGGGCCCTACCAATCGCTCCGGCGGGGGCCGGCGGAGGCTGTACCACTGGCTGGGGCGGGGGCCAAAGAGCTGGGCCTAAAGCGCAGCGGCGGGACCAAGAGTCCCAAATGGAAAGGGAAGGTGGGGCCTGGAGGTGACTCGGACGCCACCATCCGACGGTCTGACCAGAGCGTGGGGCCACTGTCCTCCTCGGCTCTGACCTTCTGCCAGGCCCCGGCCCCGCCCTAGAGTTCGGAGCGGGCCCCCCTTCGGCCCCGGGGGCTAAGGTTGTGGACTCTGCGGGTCACTTCTATTGTGGGTCCAACTGTAGGTTCGTTTGCTGCTGCTTGAGCTGTCTGTGTCCTGGATGCTGAGGACCTGTAGGCCCGAGGGTCCCGCCGACCTTCGGAGTCCGGTTAGCAGGCGCCTGCATTGGATCGTCCTGCTCCGCGCAGCGAATCTGTGATGCGGGAGCGGGCCCGGCCGCCGGGGAGAGAAGACATTTATGTGCGCCTGTAACTTAAAAATAATACTCACATCGTGTCTGTTTTAAAGAGCTCCGAGAAAGGCACAGAGAATTCACTCATTCAGTACATATTCAGTGAGCGCCTACCCTGTGCCAGGCGCTAGGGAAAAACAGCAAAACAGAACAACTCTGCCTCCATGGAGATTCTGTTATGCAGCGGGGAAGAGAGATGATAACACAGCAAATAAGTAGAATATGCAGTATGTGTGGGAAATAGTGCAGTTTAAATAGAATGGTCAAAGGCCACTCTAAGAAAGTGACAATTGAGTAGATATGAGGGAGGTGAGGGAAGAACCATGCAGATATTTGTGGGAAATCTGTTTAAGGCATAGGGGACAGCACGTGCAAAGGCCCTGAGGAGGAACGTAACTGATGTGTTCAATGTAATGTCAGAGGTCAGCATGGCTGGAGAGCGTGAGCAGAGGCAGCTGGGTGGCCATGTGGGTAGGGCCTTTTGGTTCCTGGCTTTCCATTTTTTTTTTTTTTTGAGACAGAGTCTCACTGTGTTGACCGGGCTAGAGTGCCGTGGAGTCAGCTTAGCTCACAGCAACCTCAAACTCCTGGGCTCAAGCGATTCTCCTGCCTCAGCCTCCTGAGTAGCTGGGACTACAGGCATGCGCCACCATGCCCAGCTAATTTTTTCTATTTTTTAGTAGAGATGGGGTCTCACTCTTGTTTAGGATGGTCTAGAACCCCCGAGCTTAAGCGATCCTCCTGCCTCAGCCTCTCAGAGTGATAGGATTACAGTTGTGAGCCACCGCGCCCAGTCTCCCCTGACTTTTTAAAAAAATTTATTTTTATTTTATCAGGCAACACCTCATTCAAAAAATAGAAGGGATGTTCCCTCCCATGACTTTTTTTCTTTTGGTTCTAGAATATAAAGAGTTTTGTTATTTTTCCTCAGGATTATAAAGGTGATACATGAAGTAGCATGGCTGATTAAAAGGCCTTTTAAAATTAAAACTATAATGCCAAATTGTCCTCCCCAGACATTGGGTAAACATGCCTTTTTAAAAGGCATCTAGAACTCTATCTTCAAGTTACAATCCATTTTCTTAGTTCGAAGATCTCCCTTGAAAAGCAGGTTTCACAGCTGTCAGGATTTGGGTATTTTAATTTCATGATTCTTTCTTGTGAAAAATATACATATATATA